ACCGGTGCTCATTAGATCATTTCTGTATATATAGTTACTAGATCTATTTCTCCATAAATTAGATTCTTATGATCTCAAAACAAAAGGAATAACTGTACAATATAATTAGGTTCCACACTGCTGAACATGTTTCTTTTAAAAGGTAGATAAAGGTAAATACCTCACTTTGGCATTCTGTATCTTCTCCATCTCTGATTTTTCTTTTGTGGGAATTGTTGTCAGTAGACAGATTGCATGTTGTTTTCCCAAAACTACTACCAGATCCACCTGAAGATGTTGTAATAGCTGTTTCAAGTGTCACTCTTTCCATGCTCTCACTCTGTGGACTTAATTTCCCACAGTAATTCTTGCCGGCTGCCACCCGGTTCATACGCAACTCATTTACAACTTGATTGCTGCCACAATGACTCGATCCCACCGTCATAATCGAATGCTCTCCCTGCCCTCTAAGTCGACCCGTATTTTGTCCCAAGTTCTGATGCTGCTTGGACGATTGATACCCTGTTTCAAATCTTGGAGGTGGCAATGGATTTGGACTCGAAAACTTGTTGCCTTCAAATTGCCATAAGAGCTCTTTTTCAAAGGACTCATCAATAGGACAATGAATCCATGAATCTGTTTCATCAACTTCAATCAAATCACTTGGATTTCCACTGCTTCTAATTCTTGATTCTTCGTGTTTACGATGTTGTCTCGACTCGTCGATGCCATAGCCCGGTTTTCGATGCGCCTGGCTGTTTAAAACTACCTGCCCATTTTGCCATAACAGCTCAACTAGCCCATGATCTACCCTATATTGTTAGCCAACAAATTATTTTCCCATAGAAACCCGGACTTAATATACATACTTGGTACGCAATAATAGATAAATCTTGATAATACGTCTTACCCGAGGGACTTATTCTGATCAGGCACAGGGAGTTCTGTCTCGATACTCCAACCAGGAATTGGATTATCCATGGATCCAATTCAGCCTAGTGAAACAAACAAAAATATTATATTGAAAAAAAAGTAGATTATTTTTATCAGGGTCAACCAATCATTTAAAAATAATTAACCAATAGTAAACTTACTAATTTATTCTTCTAACCACACAAATGATTACATACACCAAAGTCCAATCCACTTATAGAAAATACTATGCATCAAGATTTGTGTGTAGAGAGAGAGAGAGAGAGAGAGAGAGAGAGAACCTTGGAAATGAAAGCAAAAAACCCAACTGAGAATAACACTCAATTAAGAATTTGCAGGCAACAGCAGACACTACGGCCTCAAATGTTGCTGTCTTTGAACGCCTGTAGTTATAACGATAATGGGACGTCAGCTTTAAGAATTCCACGTGGCTAGAATCGAGTGGTCCAGTTCAATAGTGGTGGGCCCACATGTGTGAATTCCAACTGGATGCATCTTCATCTCCTTTGCCCTTGGTCCCATAAATAATCTTAAACCGCGCAGCCAAGTTGCCACGGGGACTTTAGGGAATTATGTTGCCTCATTTTTCATTTTGTGTTCTTTGCATTTTTTTAATTATTCATGATCATTAAATAGTTAGCAAAATCTCAGTTGAGAAACTAAACATTAATGTGTCTCACTTGAGTCACTGAACAACAATAAACAGGGTCGATGAACTTTAATTTAATTTTAAATTCACAGCTCTATCACTTGTCCTCGTCTAAATTGATGAAAATCACTTAGGTCCTGTTTGGGAGTTTTATTTTGATCGATTTTGGATGTCACCATTTATTAGGGGGTTTTTAAAGAACCGGTGCTTGCTAAATTTTTTGGGCACCGGTTTTAAATGGTTCAAAAATCACCAAAAAACGATGTAGTGTGATTTTGATCGATTCTCTCAACTCGGTTTTTTTTTTTGTCTTTTCTCAAATTCTATTCTAATTTTACTATTTATAAAATAATTATTTCTAACAAATATATTTTGTGTAATACTAACTTATAAATAAAAATATACTAATTATAAAAATTATTTATAAGCAAAAAAATTATATTATAATNAATAAAAATATACTAACTAAAAAAATTATTTATAAGCAAAAAAATTATATTATAATTAAAAAATTACTTATACGTAAAATATTACTATAAGGTAAAAATTATTTTTGTATAAAAATCTTATTAATAAGACAAAAAATCACTTATAAAATATAAAAAATTAATTATAAGTAGAAAGTTTGCTTATGTGTAAAAATTATTTAAGAGTACAAAATTAACTTATAATTATAAAGTTTATATATAACTAAGAAATACTAATATAAAATTTTAAGTAAATATTTAACTTTATTTGACCTTTTAAGTTAAATATTAAATCATATTTAAAAAAGTTATATATAAGTAAAATATCACTTATAAGTAAAAAAATTTACACAATAAACCTTAAACTCAAAATTTTACTGAGGGATATATGTATCTTTACTTTTAAAAAAACTTTCATAACCGTTGAATAATGAATTATCAATTATGAGTTAGACTATTTTAAAAATCACACATAAACGCTCAAAATCGATATTTCAAAAAAAAACTTATAATCGGTACACAAGAACTCCCAAGCAGGCCCTTAGTTGACAGTTGTACTACAATGGAACTCCCATGTTATAACTGCATAGCTTGTCAAATTATCACCATGCCTCATCATTAAGGTGTTAAAAGTAAAATAAAAAAGTATGTATTTTAACTTTTTCGTTTCAATGCTTCCATAGAATGGTTACGTGGAATATTAGCAATGATATAACTGTTAACTAAGCATTTTCTATCAATCTAGAAGAAGGTAGTTGACCACATGTAATACAGTAGGGAAATTTAGCCCTTGTTTCGTATCGATTTTATCAGATCTTGATAGAAACCATTGTGCATGTTAAATTTTTTTGTACAATCCTCAAAAAGTACTATAAAAATGTGGTTGAATTCAGCTAAATTACCATTACTACCCTTTGAATAGTAAAAAAAATGTGTATGAATCAATTGTTACCTTTAATATAAAATGGGATAATAAGCATTGAGAGTAAAATTCAAAAAGAGATTTGGCTATGACGCTTGACATTGCATTAAAAAATTAAAATGGAACCCACATGACAGTGCAAAAAATCAATTTTTTGGGTGAAATAATGCTCCCAAAAAGGGGCTTAATAATAAATTGAAGTTTGGCAATCTAATTAAAAAATATTGAAAATTTAGTGACCGAATAAAAATTTCTTGTAAGTTTAGTGACCATGGATAAAATTTACCCATCATTTTTCTTTGTTCCTTCTGCGAATACGGTACCATCACTCGAAAGACCAAAATCCTTGTCTCTTTCATAAAAGGGAATATTGTATAATTTTTCTCCAATCTAAAATGGTCTTTAGTTTTTTATTATCAAGTCATCTAAATATCTTTCATAACAAGTGTGTTACTTCAAATTTCTAAATAGCTCTTCAACTTGAAAAAATCATATATATTTTATTAAATTTAACATGAGAGGGTAAACGCCTAGATTTAAGTTTAATTTTAACATTTTTCATCCTTATGGCAATTTTTTTTTTTATTTTAATGCGAAATTAACTGTTACAACCGACGGAAAAGAATATCAACAATTGAATAGAAGATATTAGCAGGAAAAAGAAAAAGAGCAAAAAACCTAGATGTATTTGTTGAACCCCTATTTGGACCCATGTTCGAATAACTTAATTTTTTTTTTTCATACTCTCATTTTTAATCACACAATTTATGGAATCCATAATGTTTATCAACTTTTCAATAGCACGTTTAATCAACTTTATCGAAATCTACTAAAAATCTAATTCTTGACTAAGTCAAATAGGTGCTGAATTTTTTAGTTTATGTTAAATGACATTAAAAGAGTGACTAAAGTTCAAAATTTTACAGATTAAGTGGTGAAGTGATCATTCATATCTCATGGATGTGGCCGTGGACATAGGCATATCTACCGCACAACTTTAAATTATATTGTTCTCTTCAAACTCTTCTTTAGGTTGTTTTTACTAGGGTGTTTGGTCACTTTTTACAACACGATTAAAGACTGCATTTTTTGTTGGATTTGTTTTCTTACTTTTTAGATGAAAAGTTACTTTGAAAATAGTTCTTATTTTAATATGAAAATTGTTACGCCTCAACCTATGAGGCATGCCACATGGAAACTAGCTAACCGAAAACGAAGCAAGAGGTCATTTAAGGTCCACACACCACCACACCTTGCTCCTCCACATCCCGTCGAGGTGGTTGGCACCTCACCCGAAGATGTTGGTGCTAAGAATTTACTTATACAAGTACAACGAAATTTATAAATGATTTCAATTTCCTTCAATTTACTTAATCCAATGAAATGTAGATCATAATATTTTACTATTTAAGAGTACCGAATCATCTATTCATCATTGACAATCTTTATATGATTCTTGACATACCCGAACGTTATCATATTGGTTATTCTCGACATAGCAACATTAGATATCACCAAAGTATGAGTTTCATCATAATGTACTATGATGACCTCAAGTCGAATGACCAATTTCACCATCGAACGTTAGAGATTAAACACTAATGCTCAAATAGTTATCCATGTGAATAATCTTTCCAATAGGTCTTCAATGTTTTGTTCTCTTAACAAAACATCCACACGTCCATTTAAATACCAAGGCATTTTAGATTGTGAAATTAGCTACTCACTTTATAAGTGAAAAATGCCACACATTGGTCTATCCGTAAAATGACATCCGTATCCCCTTATTACTTATAACCATTGGTAAGTTAAAATTCAATCATATGTAATTTGTATCTCACAATCACAATTCCTTGTGTTTAACAAGTTGCTAAGATTTGAATTTACTAACTCTATTAATTTAATTTGTCAAAATAATAAGTTAATTATATAATAGATCCAACATAAATAAAATTTCATCAATCATATTAAAAGTATTTACATCCAAAATTGATTGGACCAAGGGAATAACAATTACAAACTCTCACTTGCACCATATCTAATCAGTTACATATCTTATAGCATAAGAGTCTACAAGGCAATCATGTTTATGCTTGGACAACTCTTTTTCAATGGATCTGCAATATTATCACTTGTGCGAACTTATTCTTTTTTTAAAATGTTATTTCTTTATATGATCTCTCTAATGAGATGATAACAATAACACATGTTTAGATAGTTGACGAGACCTTAATTCCTTCGCTTGTGTTGTTATCATAATACAAAGGTATGTGATCAACAATATTAGAAACTACTCTAAATTCATTAATGAACTTTTGAGTCACACCGAAACCTTGTTGCTTCTAAAGAAATAATGTTTTAGGCTTCTTAGGCTTCTATTATTAAGTGCTCGTTTGGTAAAGATTAAAATTCAATTAAAATTGAAAATATAGCCGTTATTAGGTCTCACTCGTCTAATAAAAGTCAACAATAACGGCTAGTTTTTCAATTTTAAACCGATTTTAATCTTTACCAAACACGCCCTAAATCAGCAGTTGCTTCCCGTTTGTACCTCTCTAAATAACCGCCCTATTATTAAAAGTAAATAAATATCTTTATTGAGACTTGCTATCATCCTAGTCTAATTAAAAGTTAGGATCAGTATATTCATGAATTCTCAATTCATTTTTCTCCATATAAAATCTTCTTAAGATATTTTTTATATAGATTGTGATGAGTCAATCAATCTTCTAGATTTATCTCTATAGATCAAGTTGCTTCTTTCGTATCTTTTGTGGAGAAATTCTTTGACAATCATAATTTCTTCGAATGAAGCATAGGGATGACATTTTTAATTAATAATATGTCATTTACATATAATATTGGAAATACAATAACGCTTCCACTTGTATTCTTGTAAACACATAGCTCATCTTTGTCTTCGATAAACTCGAACATTTTGATTATCTCATCAAAGTGAAAATTCTAACTCCTAAAGGCTTGCTTTAATCCATATATAGACACTATAACA